CTGAGGAAGCACATAGAGAAGTTTTAACCAAAAAACCCAAGGATTAGATTCAGGCAAGTGGTGTAGAAGTGAGGCCTGAGGATGCTCTGAAATGCAACTCCCTCTTGTGGAAGCTATTTCTGCTCACATAAATCAAGACAGAAAGGAAGAGGAGGTGGGCAACAACTCAGCCCACAGCCCGCCTGGCACCCCACCTCACGTCTTGTTTGTGCAGACAAGACAGAGCCCAAGTCCTCAAGAAACGAAGATGCTGAGAAGGGAATCCAGGCCCCCTGTATACTGGTGATCTCCTCCCACTACACAATGCCCCAGTCCGAGGCAGGCTCAGATTTACCACCCAGGTTTTCCAGCTCAGGTGGCGCCAGTTGGGTTTTTGGCCCCTCTTACCCAACTGCAAGGATGGGTCACGGTCACTGCTCAGTGGTGTCAATGCTATTACAATCCCTGCTTCATGGTGTGCCGTACAGTATCTCAACTGCACAAATACCTTACAGGTTCTGCAAGGACCTGCCAAAACTAATCCCTGTCTTTTTTGGAAGAAAATTCACTGCCACACCACCACTGTTGTATACTGTAAAGGTACCACAGTCTCTACGAACTTCAAGCCAAGCCACATGAACACTGTAAAAGCCCTGAAATAGAGCAGGACAGCACATGGCCATGCAGCCTCATATTCTGTCTTCTGAGTGATGACCCAAACAGAAAGCTGCAAGCGCTCACTCTGCTTCTGCAGGGAGCCATCATCACCCATGGGCACATAAAGAGAACATGACACGGGAGACATCCCCTGTCCTCCCACTCACACGCATGCTAAGGAAGGTGCTACAGGCCTGGGGAAGAGGGGCTGGAGAGGTCTGAGGCAGAAAAGGACCTGGGTGTGCTGGTTGACAGCCGACTGAACACGAGCCAGCAGTGTGCCCAGGTGGCCAACAAGGCCAACAGCATCCTGGCCTGTATCAGAAATAGTGTGGCCAACAGGAGCAGGGAAGTGATCGTGCCCCTGTACTCAGCACTGGGGAGGCCGCACCTCAAATACGTTGTTCAGTTTTGGGCCCCTCATTACAAGAAGGACACTGAGGCACTGGAGCATGTCCAGAGAAGGGCAAGAAAGCTGGTGAGGAGTCTGGAGTGCACGTCTTATGAGGAGCAGCTGAGGGAGCTTGGGGTTGTTCAGTTTGGAGGAGACTGAGGGGAGACCTTATCGTTCTCTGTAACTACCTGAAAGGAGGTTGTAGAGAGGTGAGTGTTGGTCTCTTCTATGTAACAAGCGACAGGACAAGAAGAAATGGCCTCAAGCTGTGCCAGGGGAGGGTTAGATTGGATATTAGGAAAAATTTCTTTACTGGAAGAGTGGTCAAACACTGGAACAGGCTGCCCAAGGACGTGGTGGGGTCACCATCCCTGGAGGAGTTCAAGAAGCGCGTGGATGTGGCACTTAGGGACATGGTTTAGTGGGCATGGTGGTGGTAGGTTGACTTGATGATCTTAAAGGACTCTTTCAACCTTAATGATTCTGTGATTCTGTTTATTTTATTTGGAAACACCTGGACAACAGCTTAAAAGAAAACAGAGTTGGGAGTTCTGTTTGGAGTGGTTCTTGCACTCCGGTAAAACCTTGAGTTAGTGCTTAGTGTCACCTGAAATCTGGAGAGACAAGAATCCAGAGATCAGTGCCTAAGAAAAGGTACCCGACCAGACTGGAGAGCCTCTACAGAATCAAGACACTTAATGAAAACACCTTCAAGACCAGATCCACAGTAAGACTGCCCATGCAGCACATGGTGGGAGCAGTAACAAGCAAGTGATCAGCGAGACTTTATCAACATGACAGCTGAATTGGATTTGCATGGCAAGGTTCTTTTTAGGAGGGGAGGGAGCTACAGGGGTGGCTTCTGTGAGAAGCTGCCAGAAGCTTCCCCCGTGTCTCACAGAGCCAATGCCAGCCAGCTCCAAGATGGACCCACTGCTGGCCAAGGCTGAGCCAATCAGTGATGGTGGTAACACTTCTGTGATAACGCATTTAAGGAGAGAAAAAAACACACCAACCCTGTGCAACAGCAGCCGCAGCGAGGACTGAGAAGATGTGACAGAAACAGCTCTGCAGATACCAAGGTCAGTGAAGAAGGAGCGGCAGGAGGTGCTCCAGGCAGCACAGCAGAGGTTCTCCTGCAGCCTGTGGAGGTAACAGTGGAGTGGAGACCCCACACTGGAGCACATGGATGCACCCGAAGGAGGCTGTGACCCCACGGAGAGCCTGGAGCAGGCTCCTGGCAGGACCTGTGACCCCATGGGGGACCCACGCTGGGGCAGTTTGTAGAGGACTGGCTCCCGTGGGTGCGATCCCACGCTGGAGCAGGGGAAGAGTATAAGGAGACCTCCCTCTGAGGAGGAAGGAGCAGCAGAAGCATGTGATGAACTGACCACAACCCCCATTCCCCAGTGCTGCTGAGGGGCAGGAGGTGGAGAAGTCCAGAGTAAAGTTAAGCCTGGGAAGAAGGGAGGGGTGGGGGGCAGGTGTTTTAAGATTTGGGTTTATTTCTCATTATTCTACTCTGATTTGATTGGTAATAAATTAAACTAATTTCCCTAAGTCGAGTCCATTCTGCCCTGATGGTAACTGGCGAGTGTCCTCCCTGTCCTTACCTCGAGCCTTTGGTTACATTTTCTCTCCCCTGTCCAGCTGAGGAGGGGCAGTGACAGAGCGGCCTGGTGGGCACCTGGTGTCCAGCCAGGGTCAACCCACCGCAGAACTATGCGGTGTTTTGCAACCAGAAACCTATTTTCTGAAGAAAAAACCTGTAATAAAAACCACCTCAAGGCACTAGTATTGTCACTTTTTGGAGCAGAATACCACTAAAATCTTCTTAGCATATGTGTATTTTGAATAAAAGAAGCTCTATCTTAACATCTACACCTAAGTACTCTAAGATAACCAGAGAGGATGCCTTCTTCAGAGACATCCGTATTTAATTAGAGCACCTCTCAAAACTGAGAGTTAGGAAGCTTCAGTGGGTTTTAGATCCAGACGTAAGGTTATTGAGAACAGAACAGAAGCACAGAACTAAGCCACAACCTCCAGAACTAGCCCAGGGCGGCACATGAGATATTTCAGACACAAGTATCGAAAGGGAACAACGTGGAACCAAACAGGAAGAGCATCAACAATTACCAGCATGGAAATGAGGGATGCGACAGGAACCCCCAAAGCGTTTGCTCAGCGTTCCCTGCCAGGGCGGCCACCTCCACTACAGAAGGGGACTGGGGTTGTTTAGCCTGGAGAAGAGAAGGCTGAGGGGAGACCTCATCACCACCTACAACTGCCTCAAGGGAGCTTGGAGAGAGGTGGGTGCTGGGCTCTTCTCCCAGGTGATGGGGGATAGAACAAGGGGAAACGGCACCAAGCTGTGCCAAGGGAGGTTCAGGTTAGAGATAAGGAGGAAGTTCTTTACTGAGAGGGTCGTCAGAAGCTGGAACAGGCTGCCCAGGGAGGTGGTGGAGTCACCATCCCTGGATGTGTTTAAAGAGCGGGTAGATGAGGTACTTAGGGATATGGTTTAGGGGGTAGACAGGAACGGTTGGACGTGATGATCTCAGAGGGCTTTTCCAACCGAGCGATTCTGTGATTCTGTAGAGCCAGCACCAACCACAGGCTCTGCGCTGCCATGGTGACTGAGGTCTCGTAGGACAGCTGAAGCCATGGCTCCTTCCTTTTCCTTGTGGCTACACTAGTCCCCCATGAAGGGGTGGAAGGAAGCTAGCCACAGGCAGCAACGGTTTTAAAGCCCAGTAAGATTTGCCAGACCCCAATTATTGTTAAAGAACCTTA